CCTTTTGAGTTTATTTCTCATCGGGTGCTAACTTGGTTGATTATTTCATACCAGTTTATTTCTGGTTTGAGTCTGTAGTCTCTGACAACATTGTTATTCTGATTTATGCAAGCTTCGAGCCTTTATTTGAGGATGTGCATTTATTTTGCACGCAAAGACTTTTTCTCCTCAACAGGAATGTATTGGTATTTCCCCAGGAAATCAAGCTTCATTTCTCGCCAGTCTTGTTATAATTCCTTCTTAAAGAGTAAGCGACAGTTCTCTTTATTTGAGAAACATGTTCTTTCCCAGTAAGTCTGTTAATATCAGAGAAGATATTTTTCTCCAATGAATGGTAGCCTTGTCGTTATGGAAGATAGTCCGTTGATAAAGATTGTTATCCCAATGAATGGTAGCCTTGTCATTATGGAAGGTATTTCGTTGATAAAGTTTATCTTCCCAATGAATGGTAGTCTTGTCATTATGGAAGGTAGTTCGTTGATGGAAATTTGTTACTTCGATGAATGGTAGTATCGTCATTATGGGAGATAGTTCGTCGATGAAGATTGTTTTCTCCAATGACTGGTAGCCTTGTCATTATGGAAGGTAGTTCGTTGATAAAAATTTGATATTCCAATGAATGGTAGCCTTGTCATTATGGAAGGTAGTTCGTTGATGAAATTTGATATTCCAATGAATGGTAGCCTTGTTATTTTGGAAGGTAGTTCGTTGATGAAAATTTGTTACTTCCAATGAATGGTAGTCTCGTCATTATGGGAGATAGTTCGTTGATGACGATTATTTTTCCAATGAATGGTAGCCTTGTCATTATGGAAGGTAGTTCGTTGCTGATATTTGTTACTCCAATGAATGGTAGTCTCGTCATAATGGGAGATAGTTCGTTGTTGAGTTTGGTTGTACTTCAATGATAAAGACAGTTCGTTGAAAGACCTTTACATCAGTATTTTTACCCTTTCCAGATGAAATATCTTGGTTAAAGAAGAAACTGAGACCAGTTCGTGGTTTATAGTCAGGATCGAGGGGAAGTTTATCTGATTCTCCATCAAATGGTATCTCTTCGAGGAAGTTTCGCAAGGGAAGTTTGTTGAGAAATATTTACAAGTGGTAGTCTCTTTATTTGAGATAGCTTATATTTTTACCCTTTCCAGGTGAAATATCTTGGTTAAAGAAGAAACTGAGACCAGTTCGTGGCTTATAGTCAGGATCGAGGGGAAGTTTATCTGATTCTCCATCAAAGGTATCTCTTCGAGGAAGTTTCGCAAGGGAAGTTTGTTGTGAAATCTTTTCAAGTGGTAGTCTCTTTATTTGAGATAGCTTGTATTTTTACCCTTTCCAGGTGAAATATCTTGGTTAAATAAGAAACTGAGACCAGTTCGTGGCTTATAGTCAGGATCGAGGGGAAGTTTATCTGATTCTCCATCAAATGGTATCTCTTCGAGGAAGTTTCGCAAGGGAAGTTTGTTGTGAAATCTTTACAAGTGGTAGTCTCTTTATTTGAGATAGCTTGTATTTTTACCCTTTCCAGGTGAAATATCTTGGTTAAAGAAGAAACTGAGACCAATTCGTGGCTTATAGTCAGGATCGTGGGGAAGTTTATTTGATTCTCCATCAAATGGTATCTCTTCGAGGAAGTTTCGCAAGAGAAGTTTGTTGTGAAATCTTTACAAGTGGTAGTCTCTTTATTTGAGATAGCTTGTATTTTTACTCGTTCTAGGAAGAGCGCCAGGATTTTGGGAAGTTCGTTATTGCTCTTTGAGACATCACCTTCAGTAAAAGCTGGTGAATTCTCTTTTCTCCACCTTCAGTAAACGTCGGTGTATCTTCTGTTTCTTTACCTTCAATAAAAGTCAGTATTTTCCTATGTTTTTTTTTTTACCTTCATTCTTGAATGGGTAGTTCATTACCATTCTTAGGTAAGATTGATCTTTTCTGGTTAGCGATTGCTGATCCCCTGTGTTGATGTTACTCTATTTTTGCTATATCCTTTATGAGTGGATAGTTCAAAGCTATCGGTTAATTGTTGTCATCCATTACTTCTCCCTCAGTTTTCGAGTCTATGTTATTTTGTCTCCTCTCGAGATCTTACCCCCAGGGAAGTTGAGTTTTCTTTTCCCCAGCAGAGCCAATTCGTCTCCAATAGATTCAAATTTCTATCCCCGGAGTCGTGTTGTTCTCCCGAGATTTAGTATCCTGATTAAATTCTTTTTGTCAATTTATAGATTCTACTTTTTCTTCTCCATTGTGTGTCTTTCCCATCTGCATGAAGTTTATATGTTACATCCATAATCATAAGCATCACATGGCATCTTAGGGCAAAAATAGGGCTTGTTTTATATTTAAGTATCTTCAATCACGTTGAAACGAAGATTTTAATCTTTGTATCTCCGGATAGAAGACACTTAAATAAGGGCAGCTTTTATACCATAATTTTTTCCCCTAAGATCCATCATCATACTTTGTACATCTCACACATAGCATTGGTCTCATGGTTATAAGGTCGAAGAGCTGTGGCATTAGGGTTTCTCTCTCTGAATTGAGGTTGTTGTCTTACTCAAAATTTATTCAACTGGTGCTCTCATTATTCTTGGTATGAGATTAGGTTTTTGGATCTCAAGCAGCATAGATGTCTTCGCTATCAGGTTTCCTCAAAATACAAATTTTTCTTCATCAAGGTTCTTTCAAGGAACAAAGGCATTAGGGTTTAACTCAGCCAGAGAATCAGGATTTCTCTTCATTTTATTTGATCTTGGTAGTGATTCTTCTATGGAGGTTTATTGAATTAATGTCTCACTTCAAGGCTACATTGAGCACTACTTTTCCCTTGTTGCGAGTTCATCACCATCAGTTAGGGTTTATCCTAATCGTTATATCTCAAGACATTCCTCTCAAGAAGTTTAGAGGATTTAGTCAATGACTTTTTTCTTGTGATGCTATTTGTTACATGGTTAAGGATTAATTGAATATTTCTTCAAGATAATTCTTGGTGCTCAAACTGTGAATCAAGGTAGGTTTGCTTCTTGGGCTTTGATTAAATAGAAGATTTAGATTGAGGTTTCGTTGGAGGTGATTTGAAGATTCGTTCAAGAAATTCCTTTAAGCCCAGATTAATTCAAGAAAATTTATATAATGGTTCGTATGGAATTCAAAGTTGGTGATTCAAATATCATTCAAAGTCAATGTGAATTCAAGTCCGTCTTATGAGAATTTCTTTAAAGAAGAATTACTTGAAATTTAAGACATTTCTCATTCATTATGACTCTACTCAAATCCTTTTCAAGTGAATATTTTGGTGCAATTTGTCAAATGGATCTATGTTTTGAAGATGGAAGACTTGTTCAAGACTTAATTCAAACATCATACTGGTACGGATCCGAAACCTTCATCATCCATTATTCGGGATGCCAAACTTTATAGTTCATTCTATATTGCCAAATCAAAGAAAATATTTCGAATTTCTAAATGCAAATAAGAGGAAGCTTTGTTCATTAGTATCCTCAAATCATTACAAGTGGAAATACTAAAAAAAAGAGAAGGAATTACAAGACAAAGTTTCTCTTACAAGGCAGAAAGGAACCATTTCAGTACACAAAATCACAAGATAATTGATAGTTCTTACATGGAGGTTAAATGAAATAAGGTTGAAGATTTCAAGCCCATGGTGAAAGAAGAAGTTTTGAATTTATGGAGTTTCATCAATTGAATTCAACAAAGTACAAAAGGCTTTGTTCCACTGTTATTACAAATTATATCTAAATGTTCGTTCAAGTTTCAAAATACAGTCCATTTTGTCATGAAATATTATAGGAAGGGAAATGTAAAGGAAAAATACTACAAAATCTAATTCTATTTTTCAAGTGGTTTAACTCCAATATTTATTTGGGTCTAAAGCTTTGCGCCGTGTCCAAGATTCAAAACTTGCATCAAGACAGATGCCAGCCTACTACCCAGATTTTGCAAAACCCTGCACTTTACAATAAAACAACCCATGAATCAAAAGTTCCAACATAAACCAAGCTTCAACAAAAGTCGGAGCAGGATAGTAAATCAGAAGTAAGAATACTGAGCAGAAAGTCGGAGAGAAAGAATAGTTCAGTTGTCCTAATTGCTAAACACGCGTCTGCATTCACATACGAAAAACAATCTGCAAAATCATTTCAAAGGAGAAGTTAAAACAAAAATATGAAAATGAGTAAGCAAGAATTGAGGACAGTCTACGATAACTAAATCATAGAAAGCTCCAATCCTGATTTTCTCAACAGTTTTGCAACAAAACAGAGGGAGTTATATAACAGATCCATTCTTCCCTAAATAACTTTCTCACAACAACCAAAACAAAAAATAACTTCTAACTGCATTTTCCTAACAACCTAGTACAAACTCCTAATTGATTCCTAACCACCTAATCTCTACCCTCCATTCCATAACAAACTCTGGAAAAATATAACAATTAGGAGCTTTTCACTAGAACCTATATAACAGAATCAGAACAGAATAAAGGAGGGGAGGATAACAGATTAAAAAAAGGGATCCATGATAAAAAAAGAGGACAAAATACTGACCTTGGAGATTTTCTCTTCTACACTTGAATCCTCATCAACATCTTCATCAATTCTCTACAAGATGCTTCAATCTTCAATCCGCATCAACCGCAACTTCACAACACAACATATCCTCCAATCATCTTGCACCTTCAACTGGTTTCAATCTCCATCATCATTTTCATCTGCAAGCTCTTTGTAATCGCTTCATTTTCCATCACAGTACAACAATATCATCATCTTCATCATTGTTCAACCTTCATCAACATCAACTTCACTCTCCATACTGCACCATCGTGTATCTTCATCGACCCGTCACTTGCAAGATTCTTCAACATCATATTTATCTCTATCTTTAGCATCTTCATATCATCTTTCGTGAACCATTCTTCATCTACAACAACTTCAGCATCTCTTCGCAACGATTGGCATTTTCTTCTACAAATTCATCATACAACTGTGTCAGCATCTCCGCATCAAGATCTCAAGAACATCACAACAGCGACTCAGCTGAAATGTGGAAATAAGAACAAGCGAAGAAGAATTTAGAAGAACATTACTGGTAGCGTCATCATCGCATTCTGATTTCAATCTGAAACATTTAATTTGTCCTTGGAGTGTGAGAGATCCGAGGAGCGCATCTTGGTTGAGCGGGAATTCATGAGAGAAACTCGAAGCGTTAGAAAACGAAAGAAGATGAAGTCGACGAGTGGTGGTTAGGGCGAACATGAAATTCTGGAACGAATGTGGTGTTGATCAGAGAAGAATGGCGTCAGGCTCGAATCTTGGTTCATCAGCTAGGTTTAACGATGGTTTGAACTTAGGGTTCACAAACAGCACTTTCGATTTGGACAAACAAGGAGTTTCAATCTTAATATAACACAAATATCGGGTCTAGGGCAAGATTTGAGGTTGGCTCTGCATTAGAGGTTCAAGGATTCGAGGTGGTTGATTGATTCGAGGCGGCGGCACTGTCGGTGAGTTTTCTCACCAGAAATCGCGAGAGAGATGAGGAGATTTCTTGAACGAAGAAAGTTGAAGAGTCACAAACACATTTTAAACACTATCCAGTATCCCATATGCCACCGTTTTGCCTTATGTTTTTATTCTTTTCAATTTTTGTATTATTGATAGAAAATAATTAAATCTGAACAAAAAAAAACAGAATTGGATCAAGGGTGGACCGTAAATCTCTCACCCTCAGGCCCATGATCACGTATTTTATAGCCCTTGGATCATGCACACAAAAAATTCTTATTAGATTCATTTTGATGGGCTTAGCATCAAATTGCTATAGCATACCTCCTGGGCTCAACAATACACCCCCTCTGTTTTACTACTCTTACTTTTTTATGTTATTAATTTTAGCTTCATTTTTTTTCATGATTTTAATGATGATAATGATATAAAATAGTAGCATATTTTAGATTCTTTAGGATTATTATTTAGAATTTTATTAGAATTTTCTATTACTTTATGTTTAACAATCATTTTCATTATCATTTTTAGCTAAGATTTTGTGATATTATATTGATGTAACTTTCGCAATAGGGAATGCTCGGGGATTAATTCTTTGATCACTCGCGTGGAGCAGCTTTTGGTAGTGTTTTCTTATGGATTGCATGGTTTTGAAGAGGCAACGGACCTTCTTCGATCAGTATCATCTCCATTTTATTTTATTCCTCATTTATGCACTTTACCGCTTTCTAGATATGATGAGAAGTAGGAAATAAAGAGCGTGCACTCGAAGTCGCTGTTTAAAGACCTGTAGCAGGCATTCTGCACTTCATTTCTTATATGTGTTGTAATTGTGTTTGTTTTCTTTCTTGTTGATTGATGAGTCACTCATTTTAGAAATTGAGATCACGACTTCGCTCTCAGTGCATGCTCCCTATAGGATTTTATCGCTTTCCTTTATTTCTTGTTGATCGATGAGTCACTCAATTTAGAAATTGAGATCACGACTTCGCTCTCAGTGCATGTTCCCTATTGGATAATTTGTTAGACTTTCTTTGGCATGCTAGCTTAGATAGGATCCCTCATTGTATGATAACATTAGGTTAGAAATAGGTTAGTCTCCCTTGGATATTCTCTTCCCATTTTTGCATAATTGCACTTAAAACTAAAACTTCTTTTTTCTTGGCAAATGAATAAAAAATGCTAATCATACAAAAATCCCTTTCATGATAAAAAAATACCAACCAATCCATTTCTTTTCGCCATTCGGCTTTTCTCTTCTAAGAGCATGTTAGCTCCTTTCCACTACATGTCATAAGTCTCCAAAGGTCGAGCAGCGATGGAATGATCAAATGCAACATTGTTCATTTAAAAACTACAAACAAATAAAATATATGAGCCGAACTACGGCGCTCTGATTCCTTCAAAGGGATACGTAGGCATCTGGTTACGGGGCTCAGCCGAGCGAAAATTTGTAAATACTTCATTCTTTTCCCCGTGTTTTCTTTGCATGCATTCCCTCTTAGTTTATAACCCTTAAGCATTAGATCGAACACACCATTTGATTAGAATAACGGGAGTGGATCCCGTAGATTACTATGGATGTGTGGGGTGCTAATACCTTCCCCTCGCGTAATCGACTCCTTACCTAATCTCTCGATCGCAAGACCTTGATTTCCCCCTTTAGGTTTTTCTTCGATGATTTTCCTTTCCCTTTCATATGGGATAAATAAATACTCGGTGGCGACTTCATTGATTTTACCGCTACAGGTACCATTAGAATCGTCTTGAAAAGACGAATCTAATGGTACCAGTCTGATCCTCAAATTATACAGATTGAGGAACCCCAATCTAGGGCGTCTGGAGGTTGAAGACGACCTACGTGCCAGGCTTCAACCAATGATGGCGTGCCATGCTATTTTTTTGAAATAGATATAGTGTGTTTGCCTTACCATACGCGTGTCTCAAGAGCCCTTGGATCTGATTACTTTAGCGAGTCAAACTTCACCCAACTTGCCACATATTAAGTTGTTTTTATTTAATAAAGATTGATTCATTGTAAAATTCAATAAAGTCCATGACATGCACAGCGCGCCAGATCCACTAGATTTGTTTATTAACACGTTTTGACAATGATCAGATGGCCCATATTTTTTTGGTTTATTATTTTATTTTCTGATTTTTATTTTAATTGATTTAAACTTCAAAAAATCATAGAAAATTCATTTTTGACTAAAAAATTATGAAATAAATTCACAAAAATAATATCAAATATTCTCTTTATGATATTTATTTTTTCATAGTTTTATTTTCATATTTGATATATTTTTTATAATTTTTCCTTTATTTTGACTTGTTTCTAATTATTTAAAAAATACTTTTTGATGTTTTTAAATTCTGAAAAATTTTATAAAAATCATTTTACTTAGTTATGGCCTTCTGAAATTTTTCTAGAATTGTATTTTGACTTCTACTATTTTTTTAATCTTTTTTCACTTATTTGGTGATTTTAATTACTTTAAAAATACTTTTCAATTAAATCTACGAGGATTGAGTGGCGATGGCGAGACGAGGGCATCCGAAGAAGTTGGTTCCACCGTCATCCCCAAACGTCTGATCTGCAACCGCTCTGGTCATTTACGCGTCAGAACCTTTGATGAATCATGAATCACCGTCTATTGTGAGTTCTGGTTTGAAGAAATCATCGGATATAGCTTCACCATAAGAAGAAGTGGTGGAAAACCCTAACAAATCTGAAAATCAGGGAGCCCCTAGGAACCTGTGAATGGACATTCTGAAGGAGAATAGAAACCCAGCAAATGGATTGGCCATGTTGTTTATTTCTCCAGCAATAGTGAATGGTGTGGCGGAAGCTGAAATTACTGAAGAGGATATTATACTAGAGATTCATTTTTGGGAATCATCTCTGATTATGTATGTGCTAGGGGGGAGAGCTTAGTATGAATATGGTAAAGCAGTTCATGACAAAGAATTGGAGCTTTGTTCAACTCTCTGATATTTATTACAATGAGGAAGGTTATTTCCTAATGAAGTTCAAAAACTTATAAGATAGGGATGTTGTGCTTATGAAAAGCCCGTATATGATACGAAACACACCTGTGATTCTTCGTGAATGGCGCCCAGGATTTAACCTCAAAAATGATCTCCTGCGAACGCTCCCAATCTGGTTTAAACTCCCGTAACTGCCCCTTATCCTATGGGGGATCTCGAGTTTGAACAAAATTGGAAGCATACTTGGGAGCCCAATTGTGACTGATGAATGTACGACGAATAAACACAGGGTGTCGTATGCATGTATACTGGTAGAAATGGATATTACAAAAGAGCTTCCTAATGAGATTATAATTAGAAATAGTCATGGAGAGAAAATGTCACAGATAGTAGAATATGAGTGGAAACAACTTTTCTGCAGGAAGTGTCAAAAGCTTGGTCATAATTGTGAGAAACAGAAACCCGAGGATAAGATATGGATCCCAAAAGCCACTAATGAAGATGCAAAGGTAGTAGTTACAGGGGATCAAGAATTGAAAACAATTGTTCCAGTAGAGGAGCTTCCTCCTGTAGTGATGCAGCAAGCTGAATCTCAGGGCAAGAAATCTCATGTGCAGAGATACATAAGCAGCATAAAGAAGGGGGAGAGAAGTGGATACATGTTCCAGGCAGTGGAAAAGATAAAGGTAAAGGGGTGAAACATGATCTATAAGTAGGTTTTTTCTCTTGTGCTAATGGATTTGATGCTCTAAGGGTTTTGAATGACCTCCTAGAGCTACAAACTTCTGGGCAATGTTAGTGTCTTGGAATGTAAGGGGGTTGAATAAATCTGCCAAAATTAAGGAGGCTAGCTCTCGTCTCCATTTTCTTAATGCAGATATAAACATTTTGATTGAAACTAGATTTAAGGTTTCCAAAGCTAGCTCAGTTAGAAAGAAGCTGGATATTGGGAATAATATATGTTCATCAATGCCATGAGAATGGCAGAATTTGGATTAACTAGAGGAACAACATTGATGTCAGGAGGGTTAGTAGCAGTATCCAGGTGATCCATTATGGTGTGTATGATAATAATGGTCTATTCAAATACTGGTTAACAGCCATCTATGCTCATAACAAGCTGGAACAGAGGAAAAAACTTTGGGATGACTTAGTTAACCTGCAATCCAATAGAGCCTGGTGTCTCATTGGAGATTTTAACAATGCTCTTACTGCTCAAGATAGGATTGAGGGGAGTATGGTTTTGGAAGTAGAATTTGAGGACCTGCAAGATTTTATGGATAAGAAAGGTCTGCATGAAATGGATAGTATGGGGGATCATTTCACATGGTCTAATAGATGGTATGTTGGCATGATTTACTCCAGGATTGACAAATTATTGGGGAATGTTGCCTGGTTCCAGGATCATCTGTCCTTCTCTCTTAGAATTATGCCTCCTGTAATATCTGATCATGCTCTGCTCCTTGTGTCTAATCAGCAAGTCAGAAGTAACAAGTCTCACAGATTTAAATTCATCAATTGTGTCACTGAAGTGGATGGTTTCTTTAAGGCTGTTAGAAATAATTGGAATGCTCATCTTGATGGAAAACCTATGTTTGTCTTATGGAACAAGCTGAAGAGGTTACAATCTATTTTATATAAGCTTCATATGCCTCTTATTCAATCTAGTAAGAACACTGCCATTGCTAGGAATAATCTGGAAAGTGCTCAGGTTAGGCTTTAGGGGGATAAGATGAATAAAGAAAAGATGGATGATGTGAAGAAATTATCTGCAGAGATTTTGTACTGGAATGAACAGATGCATCCATTTTGAGGCAAAGAGCCAAAGTCATATGGCTTAAACATGGTGATGATAACTCCTTTTTCTTTCATGCTGTAGTGAAAGCTAAACAGAATTCTACAGATCTGAATTGTCTAGTTAGAGAGGATGGTTATAGCATGTCTTCTCATGCTGATATTGAGGATGAAATTTTGTCCTTCTTTGGTGGCCTGATGGGAATCAAGGAGGAGAAAATTGCTGGTGTTGATATGGTAGCCATGAGGAGGGGGCATCAGCTTAATAATGCTCAAAGAGGTTTCCTAGAATCTGCCACTAGTGAAAAAGAAATATATGAAGCATTAAAGGATATCAATGATATGTCAGCCCCTGGAATAGATGGGTATAACTTGTTTTTCTTTAAAACTACATGGGACATTATTAAAGAAGACTTGATTTCAGTTGTTCATGAGTTTTTTGACAGAAATTATATCTACAAAGCCTTCAATTACACTATCATCACTCTCCTTCCAAAGACAAGGGTTGCCAAGAATATCAAAGATTTCATGCCTATCTCTGTCTGCTCTACTTTTTACAAAATCATTTCAAATTTTTTGACAAGTAGATTGGGGCAAGTGATTGGGAGCATTGTTAGTCCTAATCAAGCAACTTTCATCCCTGGTCAACATATTCACAATCATGTGCTTCTTGCGCATGAGCTCATAAAGGGTTATTCTAGAAAATATGGAACTCCAAGATGCATGGTCCAAGTTGATATGCAGAAGGCTTATGATATGATTGATTGGAGGGCCCTTGACAGTATTTACAGGAAATTGGCATTCCCAGCAAGTTCAAAAATTGGATCATGGCTTATGTAACTTATGTTTCTTATCGGTTTAATGTTAATGGTTCTATTTCCAGATTATTACAAGATCAGAGGGGCATCAGGCAAGGGGACCCCATTTCCCCCTTCCTTTTTGTCATCACCAAGGAATACATGCACAAATGCCTTCACCAGATGCATCTGAATCCAAACTTTAATCATCATCTCAAATGTGAAAAACTCCAGATTACTAATCTTGCTATTGCAGATGACCTGCTCCTTTTTTCTAGAGGAGATCTTGCATCCTTAAATCTGATGATGCAGGCTTTCCACAAATTCACTCTCTCCACAAGTATGAAAATTAATCCAGTCAAAAGTAGGATTTATTTTGGAGTTGTGGATTGCAGTACCAAACTGCAAATTCTCAAGTTGACTTCTTTCCTTGAAGGGGGGCTCCCCTTTAGATATCTGGGAGTTCCTCTCACATATAAGAAGTTGTCTTCTAATCACTACATGCCCCAAGTGGAAAAAATATTCAGCATGATTAAGCATTGGTCCTCCCATTTATTAGGTGCAACTGGTAGACTACAACTCATTAAATTTGTAACTCTTGCTATGACTAATTATTGGATTACATGTTTCCCTATTCCTAAAATGGTGATGCATAAGATTAACTCTATTTGTAGATCATATTTCTGGGTTGGTACTAATAGTGTTAGCAGAAAAAGCCTTGTGGCCTGGAAACAGATTTGCAGTGCTAAGAAAGCTGATGGTCTTGGTCTATTTGACTTGATTATCTGGAATGAGGTAGAAATGCTTAAGATGCTCTGGAATTTGTGCACTAAAAAGTATAATTTGTGGGTTCGGTGGATACACTCTTATTATATGAAGAATGTTGATATAGTGGATGCTAAAGTTAACGAAAATGGCACTTGGATTATGAAACAGGTTATGGGAAAAAGAGATCAAATTCACAAATTACAGACCTTGTGGGCTGGTATGTTGGCTGCTGGAAAGTTCTCTATGAAAGGTGTTTATTCCCAGTTGAGAAGAGAGGATTCGGTGGTTAATTGATACTCCCTTAACTTCAATAACCTGGCTAGGCCTAGAGTTGTTATAACCCTTTGGTTGTCCTGTCATCGTAAGCTTGCAACTAAGGATATGCTTTCCCAGCTTGGTTTCATTTCTGATTCTACTTGCTGCTTCTGTTCTAGTGATGAAACAGTTAATCATATTCTATTTGATTGTATTGGGCTGAGACAATTTTGGATTGATGTCCTCAATTGGATTAATATTAGCCACTCCCATAAGCCTTAGAATGAGGAATTATTGTGGATTATTTAGAAAAGTAAGGGAAAAGGTTGGAGGAGCACTCTTTTCAAGCTTGCTATCACAAAAGCTATCTATGGAATTTGGAACTATCGTAATGAAGCTTGCTTTGGGAAGAAAGTTGAGTATTTGAAAGCTTTGAGACAAATTACGGATGCCATCATCTTTAGGGGGTGGCATTGTAGCATCCTCAAAAGTCATATTGTTAATCTAATGATGTAATTGAGTAACATTTGCTCTCCTTTGTTTTTGTGGGTTTGATCCGATTTGATCACCTTGTATTTGTGGTTTTTATTAATCAAAGTTTTGACTTGTTCAAAAAAAATACTTTTCAGTTTTGAAAAATTACCAAAAATTTTATAAAAATATGTGAGGTCATTTCTGATTTTTCTATGGTCCTTTTAAATATTTCTTTGATACTTTGAATATAGTTTGCTATTTTACCTCTTTTTTTCATTTTAAAAAACAATTTAAAAGTCATTTTCTTTTCTTTTTATTTTATTCATTAAATGCTATTTATTTTTTTAATATATTCTGACTATATGATTGTTGATCATAAACTTCATTAACATCATTGGATCTTGGGTGTTGAGTTTAACTCCACCAAAATGGATGGATGATTTTAATGATAGTTTGATCAAAATTTTGATTGAAATATTCCCCTTCCCTCTTCATCTCATCCTCTTCTCACTTGTGTTACATGTTGTTGGAGTATAATCTACATATTATTTCTCCAAAACTATGGTACATAGATTGTTATTGACCAGCCTCAAAATAGGTGCGACTTCTATATAAGTCCACTTACGATTGATTAACATAGCGCTAAATTTTATCCTGGTTCGAGAAATGATCATTTGTGGCCCAAACCTATGTTTGTAAGCCCAAGTATGTTTAAATTGAAATCTTTGATCCAATAACCTTGAGGTTCATTATTAGGAGGCTTTGTTCTTATCAATCCTCTAATGAACTTTCATAAGATTTTGTCTATGTAAATCATTTAAACATCGTTGATCATTTATTGTTGCCTTGAGATTTTGAAATGAATGATATACTTGACAAAAAGCAAATGAAACTTGTTGTTAAAAGGCTTTGATTTTATCAATCTTTTAATGAGTTTTCAAATGCAAGTTTCAAGATGGTCATTCAAATAACCTCTAATTCCTAACAATTTACTTTATTTTATGCTTTTACTTTATGCTTTTTATTTTGAGCACATTTATTTTAGCATTTTCATTTCATGCTATTTTCATCTTTGCTCACTTGAGCATTTATATTTATGTCATTTTTATTTTTCTCACTTAAGCTTTTCATTTCTTTCTGAAGATACCTAATAAATAACTTAAACCATAAAAAACTTTAATGTTACCTGGACTATATGGTTACTATCCTTGGAATTTTGGAGTTACAGACTTCTTGGACTTAGGATTAGAGATCTTGACCTAAATTGAGACATTGTGACTTCTATTGAAATATTGTCTGGAGTTCTTGGGGTTTACCCCAAGACATTGGGTTGTTTGTTTTCTTTGTGTGCAGGTTATTCTGATTATATTCTTTGTCTGTGATTGGGAATTCATCTTTATACATTCGTTACTCTGCCCAATTTTTGTAAAGACTTAATGCCTTCGAAGCTTGGTTTTCTTAAGAGGTTTCATTATCTTTGATTGTTTGGTTTCAAATTGAAAGGATGGGAATTCTACATTGTCAATCAATCTCATTCAAACTATTTTTTCCACTTTAGCTTTTTACTTTAAAACTTTCTCAAAAGATAGACTCTTGTCAATCCTTATAGTGATGCAAACTATTATATTTCTACGATATGTAGTAAGTGAGATATTTTCCACTTGGGTGTTGAGCGAGCCTTTGTTGATTTTAGAATCCAGGCTATATCCTCCACTTTGAGATGATGCAAATTCTCCTTTCTCATAATCGTGAGTAGTGAGTAAGTTTTCCACTCAGATAAGACAATGATGTCTTGTCTCTTAAAATTAACCAACACACTTGTGTTTTAAATTTTTTTAAGGAGAACTACGAGTAATCTGACCCCCTATTGCACGGAAGGTGGTACGTAGGCACTAAAGGTTCGCAACTGCGATGGATACAAAAAGTGTAAAAAATACTTTTTTTCTCATCTCCACAATCTACTTTTTATACAACGTTTATAGTCAAAATACACAAATTTTCAAAGAGGTTCCTGCAGAGTATCGTAGATGTTTAGGGTGTTAATACCTCCCCTTTGCATAACCAACCCCCAAACTTAGATTCTCTCCCCCTCTTTTTTGGGTTATTCGCTCTTTTCCCATTCCTTTAGAAACAATAAAGTGGTGGCGATTTTTATTTTGATCTGTGCGACTCAAGTCAATCCAATGGCTTAGTCTCAACATTTCATACTGCTATAGAAAAATGACGACTTCACCGGGGAAAGATCGACTAAATGTTGGTCCATCCCTAAGTGGGTTGTGCCTATCTTTGCTTATTTGTGTATGTGCTATTATTTGTTGTATATTATATGTTGTATATATGTTTGTCTGGATTTTCCTGGTTTTAGGGTGCTTGTATATTATATGTTGTATATATGTCAAGTCAATCCAATGACTAAGTCTCAACATTTCATACCGCTACACTATCAAAGGTCATATGTCGTCACATAGACATAAGCTTTACATGCTTTAAAAATGTAGTTGCCATGACCCAAATTTTTCCGCCCTTAGTGCTACCGTCAAATTTATTTTCGAATTTGGGTTTTAAAATTCCTTTGGTTTTATTACATTAACATTTTGAGGTTTTATAAATATTCGTTCTCAAGTCCATTTAAAAATATAATAATTTATTTAAAATTAATTGTATTTTTAAAATAGAAAATATCTGCACACCTTTCATATATTTTTAATTGGGTTTATTTAAAAATGAGTAACATAGCATAATTGGTAAAGAATGAAGCTTGCAAGTATCATATCATGGGTTTGAATCTCTTGTGGTGCACTTTTAAATATTTTTCTATTTTTTTTAAAACTAATTTCTTTCCTTTTATGGAGATCAGGCTTTGGGCTTTTCATTCATTTTGGGCTAACTTTCTCTCCAAATTTTTAAACCTAATTTAACTCTATAAATAGGATTGTTGTTATCCTAGTTTCTCATCAACAAATTCACAGATCCATAGAAATCCACATCTCACTTTTACACCGCGCATCACATTTTTCAACTTTCACTGTTGCAATTTCTTTTTAAAATCTCTATTCAAAACTACTGGTGTTATTTACGATTTTATTTCTGGATGATGATTAAATATGAGATCACCCTTTTTCTTTTCTTTTTTTAATTTCAATTACTTTTAATTCGTTTGTTAGTTTAAGTGTTTAACCACATTATGAGTATATGATGGTTTGCATTTTTATTCATATTTTTGGTATTAAAAAATTTTATTTTACTTCTACAATACCAATTTTAACCTTTTACTTAGAGGTCATTCACACACTAATTCACGATACATTTTTTCACAAATTCTGAGGCCAATTTCCTAACCCAAATTTCACGCCCGACACTGTAAACAATTTTTCACCCTAACATGGTCTTGCACATATTTGTTCAAATCCCTCTATATTCTATTGAGTCAAGTCTTCTTTTTCATTTTCATGTATAGAATCCCTGCTAACCTACAAATCGGTAGCAACTTTTTTCATTCAAAAAGATCTCTCTGTAAAAATTCCACAAACCAAAATTTTCCAATTTCCATTAAACTGTAAATTTCAACATAAACCTTCAAAACACAGCTACCAAATAAATCTTCAAAACCAAAATTCAAAGCTTTCCTTGACATGTAACTATACATCCCAGCCTGCAAGTTTAACTAAGATTCATTCAAATCCTAAACAACAGAAATTAGAACAAAAGACCCAGCATCGTGTGAATTTATTACTAACAACACAAATTAAGTTTTTTTGCAGGAAAGAAGGAAAGATTGAAGAAAAGATGCAAGGAGGAATAGATCGGAACTTCCCTTGTAATTTATGTTCCATCACGAAACTGTGATCTGTAGACAACTTCTGACTGTGACCCTTCATCTGCCCACACGGCCATCGCACACAAAATCCAGTGGTGCACCATGTCCATCCACCACAATTCCGCTCCAACCATCATCGCCGACCTTCCTCCGCCATTTTTTCCGCCACTATGAGCCTTCAATCTGGCCCGAAATAAGCAGCAATACTCACCATAACCTCGACCAAAGCTCTCAGTGCAAGAAGAAAAACTTTGAGGTTTCTCATTGAAACTTCGAAGGTTTAGAGCTCCACCTCCATTATCACTTCCAACACGCGACTCTAACGCTGCTGAGGCCCAACGACCAATGCTTAACTTCGACAAGCCTCGAGATTGGACCTCATACAATCCGCTTCGGATCAGGCTTCCGCCTCCCCAAGGGCCAAACACCGTTATAACCGCTGCTGACCCTATCAAGCCGCCATCTCAAAACAGCACCGCCCAAGTTCTGTTACACTTCTATTTTACTTAACATTTTGATGCATATTAATTTTGTAAGGAGAACAAAGAAGGAAAATTGAAAACATTGGGTGAAGAAGATAGAAACCATGGGTCAGAGGAAGAAGAGAAAGTGATTTTCTCTTTCTTCAATTTCTGATATTGTACATTGTTATTACTCTATATTCTTTTTTTTAGTGAAATTCCCACGTGTCGACTGGCCATTGGGCCTCTGGGTTTGCACTAAAGAGGTCGGACAGTTCACCCTAAACATCAAAATATCATCTTGTTTTTATTTGTTTTTTTATCTCTTGTAAAATGAAATTAAGATTTGGAAAATTGAATTGGACTTTGGGCCTATCTAAACTCTTCATGTTTGCACCCTTCCTTCATATTTGCATTTTTTCCAATCTAAATATGTATTTTATTTAGTTTAGAAAATTCATTTAGGTTATTAGTTAATTAAGTTAATTTAGATTTTAATTTTTATAATAAATATATAAAATACCAAAATAATAAAATTCATGTTATTCAATTAGTTTAGTAAATTAATTTAGTTTTACTAGCTTAGAATAATTAGCTTACTTGGTGTGGTTATAAAATATAAAAATACAATTGTTCAAGAATAATACTAACATAAATCATAAATCAAATTATTTCAACCTTTTTATAGTGGGATTGGTAGATTCTTCATCTACCATGTTCTCGAATAAGCGATTGGTCGACTCATCGTTTATCAGTCAATTATTTAAAATAAATGATTAAAACATGTACAATACATCAAATTCACCATCCGCGAGCGACACATGACCAATATTTGACCACGTGAGGAGAAAGACTTTGCCATACTTTCTCCGCTCCACGTCTCAAAATAGCTAAACGACGATCAAAATTTTTTCTACTAACATAAAAAAAATTATAAGATTATTTTCAAAAAAGGATTAAGGAGAATTACTTTCAAAATTAACTGTGAACTGCATCTACGGTTACTCTTTTACAAAACTCAGACAAAGTTCAAGGATAATTCGAAATCTATTCTACGCAATCCTATAAAAACACCAACCAAACTACGAACTACGAATTAGGACTCTGATTCCTCCTAAGAGGATACGTAGGCACACGACTAAAATTGTGGCGAATTCCCCTAATAAAAAAATAAAACCCTATTTCTTAAAGGTTGTGCTTCTAAACCCTAGTATCCTTGTGAACAAGGTAGATGAGGGGTTCCTAACACCTTCCCTGCATCTAAGAAGGAGTCCAACAACTTAGAATCTCTTTCCATGTTAGGGTTATCCTTTATATTCCCTTCCTTAGGATAAAAATTAAGGGTGGCGACTCTATATTTTAAACTATTTACAACAGCTGATGACTCTGTTGGAGACTCAACCCTAGGTTTAGAAGCCTTGTCTTTTGATTTTAGGGTTTTCTTGTTTTTGGGTTTTTTATTTCCTACTTATTTAATTATTTATTTATTCTTTCTCATTATATTATTTATTATTTTATTCAATATATTTATTCATTTGAGGTGGGATTTAAGTTTTGCAAAATTATTTTCAAAAACCCTTAGAAAGAAGGTTCGTCTATTAGCCAAGGGGATACATTAGCCCTATGAGTTTATGTGACGACTTCGCCTAGAGTCGGCGGAATTCTGTGAAAGGAATACGTCTCAAGAGATATCCTCTTAGGAAGTAGGACTTTGGAATGAAACCCATGACTCTTTGTACAACCTTCAAACCAAAATCTCATGATGAGACCTTTCATGACCTAGAGACGAAAGTTTTTGTCTGTAAAGAGGCTCCACTTAAGGGAAGCCCTTGTTCCTTTCCCTTTAGTGTTATCCATGATACTCTTAGGGAGACCACCTTATAGGGAGGGTGTAATTACAAGCTTCTCAAGTCATATTTAAAGCATTAGTTTTTGATGAAGACAACATGGACATCAACATTCAAAGGATGTGCAAAAAGCTTATCAACATCATATAAAAGTCTTGAAGATTAGAAGAAGAATTATTGAAGAATCATCAAATGTCAAATGGTATAAATAATTCTTAATCTTGAATATAGATGTTCACAAAAATGCATTCATAATCATATACATATCCCACATGTTTACATTTAAGAAAAACTATGTTTGAAATCTTTTTCAAAAAGAATTTGTGAAAATAAACTTTTAGGAACCGGTTCCTCCCTAACAGGGAACCGGGTTCCAAAATTGTTCAAAAAACATGTCCCTGGAATTTGTACCAGGAACCGGGTTGTACCAATAGGGGAACCAGTTCCTGCGTAATATTTTTGAAATCTGATTTATAACGTTCGCTAAGAACCAGGTTCTTCCTGTGTCGGAACCGGTTCCCAGCGAACCAGTGCAGTTTTTCTTTTGGTTTTTGAACATTTTTCAAGTGGTACTCTTTCATGAATGCATTGCATCTTTTCATATCAAATGGCATGAATGAAGAGGTACTTGTGACTTTATAAAATGTGCAGATTTTCAGATTTAAACAATCAATCAATAACTTTCATATACAACAAAAAACCTTCTTCATATAAACGATTTTCTCACTCATTCAAATTTGCACTTAAACTTTCATGTGTTCATAAATTTTGTGAAACTTGCCATATACATTTTCATTAAGAAATCATTACAAGTTTCATACATACATTGTGAACATTTATAATCATTGCTTGAGAATTGTTTCTATCTTGAATAAGAAGATCAATTGAAGATTGATAGTTCTATCCATCTATTTCATATTAAATCATTGTATTACTTAAAAGAAATTATTCCCTTACTATCCAGGATTGTTGGAAGTAAGTGTTGTGATTTGAAGAGGATTGTTCTTCATTCACATTAGTGTTTGTTTGATCTTAAAGGTGTTAAGAACCTTTGATCACCCTATAGGTTAGATAGTAAGCATAGGTTGTACAATCATTCTAACTATAGTGAAATCTCTTTCGTGTTGGAAAGGGGACTGGAGTACTCTCGGATTGTAAGGGGAACCAGGATATATCATCGTGTTCTTTACTTTTCCGCTTTTATCGCTTTCATCACCATAATCAGGAAAATATAAGATATAATCAAAACCTTCAAACACTTAACCAAAAAGTACTACAAGTATTCTCATAAAACCGAATAAATTTTTATATACCTAATTCACCCCCCCCCCCCTCTTAGGCACTCTGAGACTTACAATTGGTATCAGAGCAAGTTATAGGTAACTTGTTCCTAAAGATCCAGAATGGCTTCCGCAAATCCAAATCCAGTTTTCAAAGATGGTGGTAGTAACAACAAGCCTCTATTGTTTTGTGGTGAATACTTTGACTTTTGGAAAATTCGCATGAAGGCTCATCTTGAAGCGCAAGGAGAAGAAATATGGAATGCTGTTGAGAATGGTCCATTTACTCCGATGTGTGTTGTCAATGGTGTTGGGTCATCAAAGCCTAAAGCATCATGGGATGACGATGACAAGAAAAAAGTTCTCTTTGACAAAAAGGCAATCAATATTCTCCAAAGTGCTCTTAGTATGGATGAATTTTTCCGAGTATCGGCATGTACAAAGGCAAAAGAAATTTGGGATACTCTTGTAGAAACTCATGAAGGAACCGTCGAAGTCAAAAGGTCTAGATTGAACACTTTGAGTCAAGAATATGAATTATTCAGAATGTTGCACGGAGAATCCATCCTTGACTTGCAAAAGAGATTCGTTCACTTGACAAACCATTTGAAGGCACTCGGTAAGACTTTAACTAATGATGAATTAAATCTTAAAGTGCTTAGGTCTTTAACGAGGGAATGGCAACCAAAAGTGACGGTAATCTCCGAAAAGAAAAGCCTAGCAACTATCACTTCCGCAACACTTTTCGGAAAGCTTCAAGAATATGAGACGGAACTTGGAAGACTTGAAAAACATGAGAATCATGAGAAGAAATCCAAAGGCATTGCTTTGAAAGTTGATTCAAAAGAAAGTCAAGATAAAGATGCATCGGAGGAAGATGAAAATCTCTTGCTTCTTGTAAAAAGGTTAGGAAAATATTTTGGTCATAAAAATAATCTTCATAATGCTAACTTTGTCAAAAGAAAGAAATTCTATAAGCATAAATATAAAGAAGCCTCCACATCAACACAAGATGTCACATGCTATGAATGTGGAAAGCAAGGTTACATAAAGCCGGATTGTCCAAAAATCTCCAAGAAAAATGGATTCAAAGGCAAAAAGGAGTTCAAGAACAAAAAGGCTTATGTTGCATGGGAAGATAATGAGATAAGTTCTTCATCCGATTCGGAAAGCGACGAATGTGAAAATCTAGCATTAATGGCTTCACATCACTCCGACGATGAAGAAGAGGTTAGTAATGAATTTAATCTTTTTGATGATGATGTTCAAGGTGCTATTGATGAACTCTTGGAAGAATGCAAAAGTTTATACAAAAAGGTGTCAAATCAAGAAAAAGAACTTTTAATTTGTCTAAAAAAAATTGACACCATGACTAAAGATTTTGATCTTCAAAAACAAAATTTTATTAAAGAAAAGGAAAACTTTGCATGCTCCAAGTGTGAATCAAATATCTTTCAAATTGTTCAATTGAAAAGAGTCATTGAACGATATGAAAAAGGACAAATAGGATTGGAAGGATTACTAAGTCAACAACGTTATCCAAATGATAAAAGAGGTCTTGGTTATGTGAATGCTAAGAAACCAAGTAACAATCTCACTGTTTTTGTAAAGGCTAGTAATAGTTCCAATCCCAAGAAAGTAGAAAAGAAGCAAGTTGTTCATAATCATCAAAAGAAAAAG